ATATTGTGTAGAATAGCTAAGCTTTAAACTACAACTCTTGTGTATATATCACAACCATCAGGTATTCGAAATTATAATATATAGTCTAGATTTCAATTTATTATAAATCAAATGCTTAGATCACTAAGCTTTAATTATTTACTTAAATAGTTGACTATCTGTTTACAATCAAATAAGAATAACCATGAAATAATGTATTTAATCATGTCGTTATATGTATAGTTGCATGTTAATTCACAACAAGATATACAGTATTATATAACATTTAAAACAAGTTTTTTTATTATTATATATCGACAACTTCAAACAGTACGGTACAAGTCATATCAAATAATACATAGAACGTGATTTGTGGTCTATATTAAACCATATGTAATCTATATTAAGTTCGATTGTGATTAATACATTTATAGAGTATAAGTATCAGTATTATTATTCTAAAATCCTATATATATATATATTCAGTGAAATGATAATTGTGAAGACTCTTACAATAATCGAAGATTTTCTAATCACGTACTTTCGATTCAATTGATCTTCAAGTGTACATTCATTAGAAAAAAAACACATTATAAATGAATATCAAGAGTTTTGTGGATATTATAGTAATTTCAATAGTTGAGATCATGAGTCAATTGAAGCTAGATCACCATGGAAAACCTGAAAGCATTGGACAACCGTTTCATTCTATTGTGGGACCTCTTAGTAGTGCGCATCGACGAACCGCCTCGAGGGATTCGGACCCAGGACCTATCAGTCTCGCGCGCGAGCGCTTAACCACTAGACCACTAAGCTGCCCGGCATCCAACGGTGTTAATGTCTGACTTCAACTAATCCACGAAATTGAGCGACACATCCACCATTGTCGTGGATGCACACTGCAGAGGAATTCCACAATAGAACGAAACGGCCGTCTAGTGCTTCCAGGTTTTCCATGTTGGTGTAGCTTCAACTAACCCATGATCTCAACTATTGAAATTCTACTACTGTTGCATTCGTCTTGATAACTTCCCCATGATATCCTAATGTAGTATGATAGTGTAAACCGATGTACATACACCCCAGGTTCTTTGTGGCATATAACTGACTGGCTGATTGACTAATCTTACAATATAGTCTAATCTAATATTTACAATTCTATGCTCAATAATGGTGCGTAAAATGTTTAGTTTAATTTTTTCATGATTTAAACGGTGAATACGTAAAAATTGAAGGTTGTTACCATTGAATCTACAAACACCAATTATAAATATTATCGGTAGTTATTTATTTGTCTTAATCAAATCAATGTGAGGTAGGAATGAATTTATTCATAAAATTTGCTATCAATTTGTTAGTTATGTAAAACAAGATCCTTAATAATGAAAGTTAATTTTAGTAAAGAGGAAAAGTGTAAAGCTATTTCCATTAGAAAATGGTGTATGTAAAAACAACAACACTATCGGATACCTGCTCATTGGTCTAGAAGTGAAGCGTCTGAGTACGAGACCGAATTTCGTGGATTCGCTTCCCGTATGAAAGGTCGCAGATGCGCACCAGTGACGAGCCCCACACTAAGACGAAACGCCCATCTAGAGCTTCGCGGTTTTTAATGGCAATTTAATATTTATCGGTTTGTGATGTCAATGTGATTAAATTTGGATTTTACTTTCTATAGAACACTTCGAATTGATTTTACAGATAGGCTTAAAAAGCAAAACAGATTTACATCAATGACACGGTTTTATAGATGCCTAACTCATATATACGAACTAGTGACAAAACCTAGATCTAAGATGTAGTGTTGAAATATCTTGTAATACCACAGCATTAGTCCAAATTTGAAGTGATGCAGAAATCCGTTATATTAAGAAGAATGTTACAAGTTGGATTTGCCAAACTAGATCGATAAGTCTGCCAACCGAATACTATCTGATTTCTAAAAACCTCCAACTAAGTCTACATGATAACCTGTTAATTTATGTAATTGACTAGAATATTAAGGTACTTAAGTAAGGTTGTGTCTGAAAAATCCACTCAATTATATTTGTTGTAAAAGTCTCTGATGAAGGTGAAATCACTGCAGCTACAAAAAAGCCGTTACTGAGCGAGAAACGATCGTTTAAACTCAGGAGCATTATTAATTATAAGCTGATTTCAGACAGTTCGAAATAACTTAATTTAAGTTCTCTCTGATAAATGCCTCTTCGTTCTCATCAATTGTGTGCGAATGAAGTCTTGAATAAATGTATGTTTCCTTCAAAAAATGAATCCAAATCAATCAATACCACAGATATTGACATTACTACTGAGTTAAACGGGCTATAACCAACTCTTTTTGGGGTCAGGGATTACGAACACCTATTGGTTATTAGTTTTTAATATTGGTACGACTTAAGAAACGTGTGCTGTAGCAATTACGTTATAACAATGCTTAGTAGCTTATATAGAATAATTGGGGATGATGATGATCGTCTGAAACCTATTGTATAACAAACTAGTAGCCTTCCAATAGGGAAATACTAGTATGTTCGGTTTTAATTTAAAATGCTGCTGACTGTTAATGACAAATATTTGCATTTATTTGGGGTTTTTGTGAAGAACAATTCAGACTAAAGAGAGTGTTCACCTGATGGTTTTGATATTCTGTCAATCACCACCACTAAACATCCAACTTAAAAATAATCGTGCATTCATTATTTTGACCAGTTCCAAGAATGGTGTATTCCAAACCTGTTGGGAGACATTCCACCGACATCGCTGAATAGATAGTAACACATTATAATTACGAGTAGACTGGAGTTGGAAATACGCATCATCAAATGTTATAACTCAATGATATAAAGATATTGTGCTGGCCCTAAGATTCCGTGTGATGATTGTGGATGCATAATATCTCAAATAAACACAAACTAACAAGTTTTTATTGATTTTTCAGCTAGTGTCAATCTTTATGTTTCCAGAATAATAATAATATACTGTTTAAATATAATTTAATTATGTAGTACATCAGTAATTACAGTATTTTCTAATTCCTAATATACCTTAGCAAACTGATTAAAAAAGCTTTGATGATAGACAAGTTCTTGTTTTGTGTGAAAACGTAATACATTTGTAATAGATCCATTAGAGGATCTGATCAAAGTAAAAGCAATTAGTAACATTAAATTACTGAAATAACAACTGGATAGCTAAAGTACAAGGAAGTAATCAATAGTAGTAGAAGTATTGATATAAACAACTTTGGAGAATTGATAGAGTATGAAAGTGAGTTAAAATTAAAATTAAAATAGCTATGAACATAAGTTGACACTATTTGAAGAATTTTTTTTAAAAAAAACTACGTAGAACAGATACAAAATGCCAGTCAACTTGGGTTACTTCAATCACTCAATCATAACCAATGTAGAACTTCAAACTTAAAGAAAAATTCGCAAAATGCTACACCACGGCAATGAGCAGGGATGAAACTATCAAGATGAATACCAAAGTAGTAGATGTACTAACAGAATCAGTAGCAAGAGTGATCAGAAATTTAAAAGAATGGATTAACTCATAGGATTAAAAGTATAAAATAATTTCAGAACTCAGAATACAGAAGCAGGCAAACAGGGACCGGATTAGTAGCACTATGACAGTTTTCTAGCCATTGGTTTCCTTTAGATAACCTAAACTCTAAGATCTCATGAAGAGAGTGCAAGTAACTGTTTTAATCTCTGTTTCTTCTTACGGTTATGACCCAGCTATTCCTATTGCTTAGTATTCTCAGACACCGATTCACTCGACAAGTCCCCAAATCAGAACACGGTTGAACAGGAAAAAGATTATATTCCAAATAGCAAGTCAGAAGCCAGTAGGAAGCACAATAGGGAAAAACGTCAGTATATTTATAGAAAAATCCAGAATATTCTCCAACTATCGACTAGCGCTAATTGGATAAGAATTAGCCAATCAGCGTGCACCAAAGCAATCATGCATTGAGCATGCTTTAATCTAGTCTATGTCCCGCTAACAGTAACAAGTAAACTATTAGATCAAAGTGAAAATCAAAATTTTTCCATTTACTGTCATGTTTTCATCTTTCTAATAGTGGGTTCATTTTGTTATGACTACAAATTTTCTTCTGAGTGGAAAATATAACGGCTAATTGTTTACTTTCAACTGAACCATATTTTACTTACTAAGCATGACAGATTGATAACTACACTTGCAGTTAATTCGATAACACATATAAATATGCAAGTTTAGCCAGAATACCTTCAATTATTCATCGAAACAAATATTTATTTAGATATACTGATTTATTAGTGTAGTGACATTTACAACATTTTATGGAAAATATTAGTCACTTTAATAAAATTACCAGATGAAACAAATCTAACGACTTGAATATATAAGAATCACACATGAGAAAGAGGCTTTTAAAAACTCATAGGTATATATGAACAGAAAACACAAATGTTGTTAGAGATAAGGCTGGGGACTGATACTGTTTTGTCACCAAATAAACGCGTATCAAACAAGTTTTAAACAAGTGGATGGAAACATAATCCACAATATATCTTGAAAAGTTCACTTCCAATGCGTCTTTCTGAGATCCAAGTCTTAAACTAACCTGGCCTGTCATCTGGTTTACATTTAAACGTGAGCGTTAAAAGGGAGGAAGTTAAAATGGTGTACAAGTTATTAGCTCTGGATAGTGTATTGTGTAAGTGGGCAGTTTTATAAACTTAACATGTCAGTATGGGATTTGTGGAGACCGTAGTACTTTCACAGTTGAATTCATGAGTCGATCTAAGCTAGACCACTATTAAAAACTAGGAAGCAGTGGACGGCTGTTTCGTCCTAATTTGGGACTCCACAGTAGTACGCATCCCACGATCGCTATCCAGTGCTTCCAGGTTCTCAACAGTGGTCTAGCTTAGAAAGACTCGTGAATTCAACTGTTAACATGTATTATCTAACCAAATAACACATGAAATTAATTAAAGTTAGCTAGAATAAATCAAATTAAAACTAACTTCAATTTCAGCATCTTTTTCTTGTTCAATACTTTTTGATTTTTCTAAAGCTAATTCTAATTTTCGATTTCTATCAAGAAGAGCTTTACCCAATTCAGCGGCCAATATTAAATCTAAAAAAATTCATATAAACACATAAAAACTCATGAATATTAGAGTACACTGGATTAAAAATCAATAAAAGCTTACTTTTTGACGTTAGTAAATATGAATTAACTGGACTAGTTTAGACTAACCTACTTTTCAGACTAACATAATCTTGATATATTTAACGGAATGAAAATAGAGCATTTACTAAATGCATACTGTTAAGATTGATATTTTTACAGTCATTTAGCCAGTCATAAGAAGTGTAGAGCCTGGCACAGATATGCGTTAGCACAAGCTGACATAAGCATATAAGAACACAGACATAAAATCATTACAATTAATAAACTAAGTAATTGAATAGTAGTAAAAATGAACATGAGAGGAACTAAACACTAAAAATATGGTTTGGTAAAAAAGAATGAGAAAACAGATATGTGAAAGAATATTGAAACTCATCATCTAGGAGGAGAGAATGAAAGGATCCATCGCTTCACTGTAATCAAATCTAAGCCATATCACAAAATGTTTCCAATTAGTAATCACTATCATCTAATGTATATTTTTGGCAGTCTATCGATTTCATCCTCAAAACTAGCTTGTATAACTATGCATCTGTAACATGATCGTCAATAAATAGCACTTGGACAAAATCACATATATTAGAACAAACAAATGTAATGGTGACTAAATAATGATGTTCAATTGCAAAACGTATAATTTGATCTAGCTTTCAACAAATTACTTAACATAACTTTCAACTGACCGTCTTCTATATCTATTTATAGGAGAGACAATGTTGACAATAATTTTCTTTGAAAAATAATAGTTGGTGATATAAATTAAGCCATGTAAATTTATAATACATTTTAATAAGTCACATCTCAACCATTTGATCGGATATATATATATCGATCAGTTAGTGTAAATATCGAACACTTTATGCAAATATTAAGAAAATTCTATATTTTCTGAAAAAAGGCATTGTTTACATTGTGAAAAAGTTTAGCCTACTTTTAGGTCAACTAAATTTACCAAGATTTCAGTAAGCAACTACTTTAAGATTTTGATAAATATGTTCATATCATATACATGCAAAATCTTTTGTCTCTGACAACAGAATACATGATTTTATTGAGGAAAGTTTTGCATGCCCAAGTAAATAATGATTTTGTAGTGTCCACTTCCAGTAAAACTGAAGCCGCTTGGAGTCTGAGTATATTCAGGCGACGAGTTCCAGAAGAGATGAACCTGGGGTTTTAAATTTTGATGTTAGTAGATATCAACACAAAAGGAGGTTAAATACCTTCATAGCTTTCATACAGCTGTTAAATCGATTTTCAAATTATTGTTTTTGTTATGGAAACTAAGTTCACCGAGCTATTAAACTAATAAACGTTAGCTATGATCGAATTCTAAAATACCTAATTCATAAATATTTGAACAAAGCAAGCTTCTTTTCACTATTGATCTGAATTTTTGTGTCGTACGCAACAATAACGTGTATCCAATTCCAAAATATTCTATCAAAATGTAAAGTGTAAACCTTGAACTATGTATAATCAACAAAAACAACTACCATAAAACATAAATGAAGAGATCTTTCTATTCTTTTTATTAACGCAAGGTAACTCAAAGAAATTTATTTTACTATATTCACGAGGGAAGATCAATTAGATCAACTAAGCAAATAGAATAACAATGCATCTATTCCAAAGACGTCCTGGATTGGTATAACCCATCCTGGCTTTTATTATATGTAGAATGACATCATTTATTTCATCACCATCAACAGCCACACAAATACCCTGATACTCAAAATCATTTTGACCACTTTTAGCAGTTCACTACAAATGTGTGAATACAAACCCTTCTGGTGGTTTTCTAAGAATCATTTGCACTTTTTTAATACATGATATGCTTACGTACACTAATTTTTGGCTGATTACTTGCTATTCGGATGTCCTGTGTGCTACCGTACAATGAGGCAGTATTATTTATACATTTACGGTCAAAACCTTACTCTTCAGGTAGAAAATTAACAACACCATGTGCTGTCTTCAGAGCCCTTTGAATGACTCAAGCAGTGGGGAAATTAAAGAAGGATGAGAATCGACAACCCTACTTAATACTATTATCAGGTAAGAACAGTAGAGAGATTTTTGTATGTTCTGACGCTACTAAGCATTTTTTTCAGAGCTTTTAAGATGTTAACTGGCCTCTAAGCAAGACTCTCAACAGATAATCCAAATTTATGGTTCTATCCAGGTAATTGATGATACTCGGTATTAATAATGCAACGATTGTTGCCCTTCAGTGAATGTCGTAGCAAATAAGCCTTCACTGTAGGAGGACGAACTGATCAACGCATCCTCAACCATGACTGAAACTACTTCGTCATTTTGATTAGATATGATAAGTTTAATCAATCGTTCAGAGGATCAAAATGACTTATTCAGTGTTAATTAAAAAAGTTGATTCTGCATTCTATGAGGCAGATAGTAATTTAACTATAGCCCACCAATGTTATAAATATGGAATAACGACTAACAATAGGTTTCATTAGACTGGTTATGGCTAGATATAACCAGATAAAAATGAGGTGATCAGTTTGTATATAGGTATGAAATTATTGAGAACCTCACCGCATGGACCAAAGGTCCTGTCGTATTTCTTATAATTCAAGAATGAATACGGATTGTTGATATAGACACAGTAAAATGGATTTTTTATACAACAGTTTATTTTAAAATATTATTGAGAGTATTTATCACAATTTAACACACCGTTATCATGCCAATAACCTTCATCAATTAAAGAGCATTGATCATCTGTCAGTGAAGGTGCAGGAGATGACGATTCATATACTTCATTTTGATACTGATTCATAGGTGACTAAAACGCCAAGTGTTTTTCTGAATAAAGATAAATATCGGTTTAATTTTTTTAATTTAGCAATAGGAATCCAGGACAAGACTGTAACACAAACATTGAAGTCAGTTTCAACTCATTACATAGATTTGAAGAAAGATTGACAAATGATCTTATGCTGATTAAGCTAAAATAACATAAAAGATATACAGTACATACTATCAGTTAACGTGGATAAATAAAATAATTTTAAACAGCTAGCAATGTCTGATTGCGAAATCAAAGAGATTCAAAGTACGAATGACTGTGCTACTCGAATGAAAACATACTTTGAAGGTGTGTATCTAGAATGTTTCTAATTTAAGCAATCGAATCCTCTAATGACTTTAATGATGATTAGTTACTCAGTTTAATTGGTGATAAATCATATTGCATAGAATGTTTTCGATGTTCATAAACTGAAAAGATATGAAAATAACTAAGTAAATACATTTTAAACATCATACAGAAATCCTCTTTTTAGTAAATTAAAATATTTAAAGTACAAAATATGATATTCTTAACGTAATTGATAGGACGAAGTAAATAAACTCATATTCCACACAGCATTTGCTAAAAAACGACATAATTGGTTAGAAGGAACTTGCATTAAAAGAGTAAACCAGTAGTTCAGTGTACTCTTGACTAGTAAGACTAGTTAAAAATGAAGCTATACAACTTTTGTACATCCAAGTGATAGTAGATTACGATGATGATAGGTTCCGTTGGTTAATCATAAAAAACTTGAAACCTCTCACGTGGGTACATCGGTCCAAGTTACCGTACGATATCAGAACACTGACTTAAAATAATCAAAACAAAGGTCAAAGCAATGGTAATATCAGTGATAGTAAAAATAGGTAAGACATATGGAATATGGTATGAGTTTGTGGGTAGAATAAAAACTAAAGCTTTAAAACTCAAAACTAGTGAAAGACAAAGAATGCATTTATAGGTGCTATTTTAGACAATTACGAGTCATATCGCACAACATCTCTAACCATGGATCACAGTTATCACAAGAAACCCAACTAGACAAACTTCATATCCCATCATGGCTCAGATCAACATTTAGAGATTTCACAAACTGAAATCATATTTTATTTTAGTTTCCCCTTTCCTATAACTTATACATACTCTAACAACAATAGGTAGGTGTATGACATGCTCCAGTTATCTTAATTAATAAAGACTCACGACATAGTCAACCTATTTATCATATCTGTCAAGTACTCTGAGTTTAGGTAATAAGACCAATTAACAATCGAATGATTTCATGGTAACCCAGTAGTGACTTTGTGGTTGTATCACAGGAAATAAAAATCATTTATGTAAATGATGATACTTCAAGAGTAAATAAACTACATTGGTGTTGAACGTCTAGTTTTAATTTTTATAAAATAGGAAACAGAATAACACTTTTGAATTTATGCCCCAAAGAAAATCTAATGAACCGTACAATCTTAATTACTAAGTTCAAGACCAAGTGTTTTAACCAAACTTATAGTAGTACCAGAATATGAAGTTGTAAGGTGTGCCACACGCTTAGTTTGCTTTCAAAGAAAGAGCTTTAAATATCTCAATCAACCACTGAGTTAGTTGAGTAAAATAAACAAACAGCTGACTAGGCCTACTATAAATATTCAAGTGATAAATTTGGCAAACAAGAATGCAGTTAATACTTGAAATTTGCATCCCGTAATACAAGAATGCACTGGTTAACAAACTTACCATACACAATACAAAGTATCGATTCTTATCTCTAACAGAATATGGAAGAAACAAAATTATTCTCTATGTAAGTCATATAATGAGTTTTTGAGCATTTGTATATTATCCAGTCCGACTATTTGAGTGTAATCATTTATGTTTTAAGACTACTAATAGTGTTTCTCAGGCAAAGAGACGTATTTACTGTATTGCAGTATAACGCGAGATATTTGTGACTGAAATCTGTATGGTTTGATTACCATGGTGACTCAAGTATGGACTTATGGGTTGAAGTTTTGGCCTATAGCTATTAGATTGACTCCAGTTAATGACGGTGAATGATGAAATACAGAGTCTTTTAAACTCCGAACGTATTTTTTTGGCCGATATCATCAAAACAAACGGAAAATGAAAAGACAAATACTAGTATTTCAATTGAATACATTTCAAAAACAATCATTCACATAAATGGATAGTTAACAATGAGGTGTGGATAAAAGCAGGAATTATACTCAGGTCCAAATTTCACAGATGAACAGGTAAGAAGATAATAGACGGGTAACAAATAGAATAAAAGTTGGACAAATTAGAAAGAAGCGTAAAATATAACCGAAAAGATTGAAATAATTTATCTGTTTAAAAGCCAGTACAAATTCACGTGGGCAATATACAAGTCCACTGCAAACTTCTTCTTCATGAAGGCTTTGTCGTTGAGTGGTGATAATCTCATCCAGTAAACTAACCTCTTGAATTAAAAGTCGGACCTTAAAATCAAAGACATCCATTCAGTGGACTTACTACATGCAACCGATTCTACAAAAGCTATTTTGACAGAATTCTTAGGATGTTCTAAAATCTGTCGTGAATCTGAAGTTATTACATGACTTGATAAGATATTTGTAACGTTTTATTGAGCTAGGATCTGTTGGGACACCCTGGTTATATAAATTCGGCCGAAATAAAGTTCGTCACATAGGTTGGCCTGAGTAGCATAAAACTCCTGCTTCGGTTTGGGCACCCGGGCAGTATCACAGCCCTCACACATATCGAATGAGATTTGTGTGGCGCATATGTATTTGGTGCCTCCTTGTACCAATATGTATGTGTTAAAATAAATAAATAAATAATAGTTGGAAACTACAGAAAATTCGGCTAAATCGGACAAGAATGAAATCTTGAAATTATTCGTTTGAGTGCAAAATAGCTCAAAGTTATCGCACACATATGTATACCATAATATATTTTTGATAAATATTTTGGTTAATAAATATGATGGGACGAAGACAGTTCCAGTTGGCAGGCGACATCAGTAAATTTATTGGAATGACGTGTGATTGGACTCACTAATTATCAATCAAACATTACCTTGCACGAAATTAGGATTTCTAATGAGACAAAATAATCATCTGACTCTAAATTTATGCGTATCAACGACAACTCAGACACTTCATTACTGGTGCTGTGCTTGTACGAATGTATACATTTGTACATATATGTGTATATAGTTAACCCTATCATAAACTGTGGTATTTGTACGAACTGATGATTCCTCTGTACTTGATTACCCGCTTATTACGAATTCCAAATAAAATAATTTCGTTTGTCCATCTAGTTCTTTCTAGCTTATAAGCCAGACATATAAATCGAACCGTTTCGGGAATTCGCAGTTACCACATCAATGCGAATACTTTCGATTATCACGTTAATACTGTTATTCAGATTTCAAAAGATCTCAGAGGAGGGACTATTGTGAAAGTATTAGTATGTTGGTTTCCGAAATCCAGTTACCCTAACTAGATGGGCTAACAATAGAGTATAAATTGAGACTTTATAAATAAATATGGCGCATTTACCCTTCACTTACAGAATTAATCCAGAACAACCTTCAGTTTGTGACAACTGTGCAACCAAAATATAAGATGTAAAGAAAAACTCCAGCGATAACTGTTGAAGTGTATACAATGGCAAGGTTTAAACGTTAGGTCCTTTTGAAATGTGCCCGCCCTTTCGTTTCAACGACCTTGAACGGCTTGATTAGAGGCGGTCATTCCGTATTTCAATTGCCGTGGGTTGGTTGGATTGCATGAGTACCAAGTTTTTTCATATATAAGTCATGTTATGCTGCATAAAAAAGCACGAAATAAATACCAAAACCATTAATTTAGCGTTCTCTGTTTTGTAGTGTACACGTTGGCTCTGTTGTTGCTTTGTAATTTGATCTTTGATCCCAACAACTGTAGTAAAGCTCAACGAAATGTCAAGTCACAGGTAAATCCTAAGTATTTGTAGTATTTTCTTGGGTTATTATTGTCGCAAGGAATAACCTTTTAATAATTAGTCATTTCTGTTTTTAGTGCTTCATGCTCAAGTGACATTTCAGTCGACCTAACCGATGCCTTTCGAAGTATGATACTGAACAAGCGTTTCGTCTTGTGGGATGATTTTGAAAGCGCCTTAAAAGAGTTCCAAAAAGTATGGAATTATAGTTTTATCGCTTCTCAGACTACTTATACTCGTTACATCCACACAGAAAGCAGATTGCTGAAGGATGTCAGGTTCAAATACCTGTTTGTATCGTTTAATTGTACGTTTGGTCATAAGAGGAAATCGGAAGGTTTGAAAGTGAGGCAAAAATCGTAAGATCTGTAACTAATATCTTATGTTTAAGGTCTAAATTCCGTAATTGTCGATCTACATTTCGTGTAAGACTAGAGGAGCAAGGATATGTCATCAAATCCTACAACATGCTCCACAATCATCCATGTAGTAGTTCATGGATGGTATGTGATCCATTGACAAGGAGATTATCGTCAGAAGAAAAAGAGAACTTGAAGCCCGTAATACTTCACTGTGAGTCAGCAGATGAAGTGTGCCGATATCCCTGCCGTCACATGCTACTTGCCTACGTTAAAAGACGAAATCTTACAGGTAAGCTATATCAATTATGAAATACTAACTGCATAGCTCATCAACTTCTTAGGTATTGTAGCAGATGGAAGTTACATAATACCCAGAACTTCCAAAATTATACATTAACTGGATTAACACGACGGAGTGAAGTCTATATAAGTATTCAACGAAGTCAAAGAATCCATAAGCAACGCATCATTGAGAAGTACGGTGAACGTTTTGCAACGGAAGTTGAGAAGAAGGTGGACAATTATTACTTAAGAATTCTTAATACCAACTTGTAAACTTGATTTTCTGCTTTAGCATCAATGATTATTCAATAAACTGTTATAATTTTTATTTTCATCTTATTCCTAGTT